TTACTAAAAGCCTAGAGAGTCTATCTCATAATTTTATATTTTGGTGGCTACTTTTAACTGTAATCAAAAATCATCTTCACCATGGCTTGGCTGATTGGTAGTTAATGCTGGTGTTATTAATAACCCAAAGTGAACATTGTCATCTTGTTATGTTGATCTTTCCTTTTTGGTTTCTTTTGCATATAGCCGTTTACAATGACGTCTGTAATTGTATTCCTATTATGACGTCTGATGCTGTATTCCTATTTTGATAGCCACAGATGAGTGGTCACCACATCTGAGAGGCCATCCTTTCTTCTGCAGTTGTGGTTATTGGCCTTTTCTTGGTGTATTTGGAGACACAGTGTAGCAAGATCAGTAGCAGTGGTTCCCTCTGGCACTGCTTCCTGATGGTGGAATGGGAAGGGCTCGCAGCTTCCCTAGGAGGGTTGATCGGACTACAGAGAGTATGTGTTTTGAAAAAGATGCCCACAGGTTGCTGCAGTCTGCTTACATACACCCTCTTGAATTTAGTTTAGTTTTGTTTGGGAAGCAAAGAAAATGTTCCCTATTCACTGGGAACAGGGAATCATTTTTATTTAGGATGAGATTCTTGGCATAATTCTTGTTGGTACAAGTAGTTCATCTAGTCTTTTCCCCCTTTTGACTAAATAGGTTTTTAATAAAATAAAGCAAAGTAGAAAAAACTAGTTCAGACTTTAGACCTGCAGAGTATGGTCACTGCTATAGTTTGAAATCATCTGCTGGGCGGTGCCTGTGGCTCAGTGGGTAGGGCGCTGGCCCCATATACTGAAGGTGGCGGGTTCGAACTCGGCCCTGGCCAAACTGCAACAAAAAAATAGCTGGGCATCGTGCTGGACACCTGTAGTCCCAGCTGCTTGGGAGGCTGAGGCAAGAGAATCGCCTAAGCCCAGGAGTTGGAAGTTGCTGTGAACTGTGACACCATGGCACTCTACCAAGGGCAATAAAGTAGGACTCTGACTCTAAAAACAAATAAATAAATAAATGAAATCACCTGCTTTCTCTTATTTCACTTTGTCATGAAGCTCCTTTTATAAGGAAGCCAAATATGTAAAACAGATGAGCAAATACAACTTTATTGTTCCTGAGACTCAGAGTGGGTCTTTTAGTATACACTGTTCTCTCCACGCTGTCTGGCAGCGCATCATGAAAATGACCTCTGCAAGTACCTTCTGCGTGCTCAGCACTGTTGACGGGAAGTGAATTGGACAGTAGGAGGCAAACTAGTGAAGATGGTCAAGTTTGCGTTGCAGGCAAAACCTTTCATCCTTCCCGTTGCTATTTCTCTTGCACCTTTCTTTTGCCCTTTGGTGGTTAAGTGTTCTCCTTTCCCCCACGTTGGCCCACCTATATAGGAAAGGCTCTGATATCTTTACTTAGGGAGCCTTCCCGACTTTCTCCTCTTTGAAAATACAGGTGGTGAGACTACTTTCTGCCGACTCTGGGAAATTCTCCTTTCCTAACTCAACACAATATTACTTTAGTTATTATCTTACAATAAACATAGACAAAACCACGCCACCCTTAGCACCTGCAGACTTAGCCTCATATAAACTCTAACAGCTCATGGCCTATTATTAGTCTACTGGGATGCATGACACTCATTGAAATGGTTGATAGTTCTTTTCTAAATTTTATTTTTAAAAAGTACATACGCCATTAGAGGACATGGGATGAAAGTGGAGTGAGCTCAATAGTGTGTTGAAAGGACAGACAAATAGCCACCACTCTGCTCGGGTGAGTTAAGCACTCTCCTTTCCCTGAGATCGCCTCACTCCTTGGACTGGATTTGTGGAGAGGATTGCTGACTGCTTTCTCTTACAGTTGATTCCAGATCATTAGGGGTTAGTAGAAATCACTGATGGTTAGCTACCCACCTTTGATTTCACACCCAAAAGTTACAGGAATTCCCTGCTTGGAGAAACATTCTCGAGGAAGAAATTGGCAGAAGGAAATTCCTTCAAATTGCATTGTGTAGAGAGAATGGTTCTCCTTTCAGAGCTGCTTGGCCTGAGACAGGTTCTGGATGACACTCATCCACGGTGTCCAGGGGCACAGGGCCCCTCCCTGCTCACTGATGCAATGCTTTCTTGTAATCCTACTCTGGTAATTTCCCACGGGGTACTGGGAGGAGGACAAGGAGGAGAAGGAAGCAAAATTTAGTGATTCATGCCAAGACAAATGTCCCGTCTGTCTGCGTGAAGGAGGGAGTTAGCTGTTGTCTGCTAGGATGCATTTGATGTTCCTTTCAAAGGGACGGAGCAGGGTGACGCGAGACAGCAAGATGGAGCTTGTCGCTCCTCAGAGCTACCTAGTTTGTGAGGATCCTGCTTGCCAGGCCTGTACTAAAGAGATAGCCTGATCCTTCCTGCCAGATCCTGTCAATTTTTAATTGAAAAGTAAATTTATTTCAGGTTAATGCGAGGGTACAAACAACAGGTGAAAATATTTGATGTTGTTAGGTGAAGTCCCTCTTGTGGTTATGCCCCACATAAAAGATGTGCCAAACACCTCCAACCCATGCCCATTCCATGAGCACCCCACCTCCCTCCCTGTCGCTAGCTGCCCCTCCCCCCAGATTGAATTGAAATGAGTTTTTTCCCTTTGTGGGTGTGTGTTTGATCGTCTGCTGGCTTCATATTAGTATTGAGTACATTGGATACTTCTGTTTTCCATCCTTACAGTATCACTTTTTTTGGAGACAGGAGCCTCAAGCTATCCCCCTGGGTAGAGTGCCATGGCATCACAGCTCACAGCAACCTCCAACTCCTGGGCTCGAGCGAGTCTCCTGCCTCAGCCTCCCAAGTAGCTGGGACCACAGGCGCCCACCACAA